ACGATCCTTCGCAGTAAAGCACTATTTGAGCAATAGTGAAAATCAGACCTGAAAAAAATTTCAGGCCTGTACGGGATTCGAACCACTGACCTCTGCGATACTAGTGCAGCGCTCTACCAATTGAGCTAACAAGCCAACTGGGAGCAGGCCATCAAATTAATTCGACATAAACCCGTAGATGATAAATCAAACAACAAACATATGAAATACATATATATGAACTGCGGTTATGAAACGTATATGTGCACGATCCTTCGCAGTAAAGCACTATTTAAGCAATAGTGAAAATCAGACCTGAAAAAAATTCAGGCCTGTACGGGATTCGAACCACTGACCTCTGCGATACTAGTGCAGCGCTCTACCAATTGAGCTAACAAGCCAACTGGGAGCAGGCCATCAAATTAATTCGACATAAACCCGTAGATGATAAATCAAACAACAAACATATGAAATACATATATATGAACTGCGGTTATGAAACGTATATGTGCACGATCCTTCGCAGTAAAGCACTATTTAAGCAATAGTGAAAATCAGACCTGAAAAAAATTCAGGCCTGTACGGGATTCGAACCACTGACCTCTGCGATACTAGTGCAGCGCTCTACCAATTGAGCTAACAAGCCAACTGGGAGCAGGCCATCAAATTAATTCGACATAAACCCGTAGATGATAAATCAAACAACAAACATATGAAATACATATATATGAACTGCGGTTATGAAACGTATATGTGCACGATCCTTCGCAGTAAAGCACTATTTAAGCAATAGTGAAAATCAGACCTGAAAAAAATTCAGGCCTGTACGGGATTCGAACCACTGACCTCTGCGAATTTTTTTCAGGTCTGATTTTCACTATTGCTTAAATAGTGCTTTACTGCGAAGGATCGTGCACATATACGTTTCATAACCGCAGTTCATATATATGTATTTCATATGTTTGTTGTTTGATTTATCATCTACGGGTTTATGTCGAATTAATTTGATGGCCTGCTCCCAGTTGGCTTGTTAGCTCAATTGGTAGAGCGCTGCACTAGTATCGCAGAGGTCAGTGGTTCGAATCCCGTACAGGCCTGAATTTTTTTCAGGTCTGATTTTCACTATTGCTTAAATAGTGCTTTACTGCGAAGGATCGTGCGCATATACGTAAGATTTTGGTTGTTTATTCGAAGGGCGGCCAGTGAAATTTCTGAGGCTTGCTTCGTTGCGATGACCGGAGATCGCCATGATGAGTTAGCCGCGATGCAACTCAGCATGATCGCAGTCACTCTGACTCCATTATGAATTGTATGAATATTTAACAATTATTCCACGAGCGTGCGTTGGATATGAGATGATAGATAACCAACAAGGCGCGTAGCGCCGAGTTGACTATAATCATCTCATATCCAACAAGCGCGAGTGGAATATTTGTTTTATTAAAAACGCCCCCAAGAAATTATTATTTTGTAAGAAGAAACCGGATTTTTTAGCTCCCTTTTGATTTTAAGCTGACGCGCACGCTTACCATATTTGTAGATTATGGTACATTGGCTCATATACCATAATGGCTAAGCCAATAAAAAAGTCTTGAATTGCATTATCCAATGATACAGTTTTTAATAATAGCAGTTATGCCAGTTTTGTAATATTTTTCAAAGTTCCTGTTTTGTTCTGTTTTGTTTTTGAAAACGAAACAAGATGTACTTTACAAGTGTTGGCTGTTTGATTTGTATTTCCGCAAAAAGCTTACACTCTAACTGAGTGTGAAAACCTTCAAAACTCCGACATTCCATTTCGTTTTCTCTTCAGGATTTTCGTCTCTACGCATGTTGTAATAACGTCGATTACGGTGCTTGGCATGAATATGTATATAAACCGTTGTTTAGTTCTTCTTTTGTTACCTGCCGGCTCGCTTGTTTCAGAATTTCACTTTCAATTAACTAATAAAAAGCTAGAGAAAAGTATGGGAAATGGTCGGATGGTGTAACAGCCTAAGCTCAGCTCTGTGTTTCGTACTCTGACAGAGCTCGCTCTTTTAACCAAAGATAGTGCCCGTTATAATTACATCCGAACTGTTTTATGATGCAGATTAGCTTTTCTTCCAAAAACGATTTGGCGACAGTCTTAAGTAACTTGTGTAATGTGTTCATTGATCGAATATCACCGGTTTGCTCCCAGTTTTTAAGATTTTTTTTTTCAATTCCTTGAATTTGTATGTAACTAACGAGGGCATATTCGTGCTTGCGATAAAGCCAGTGCCTGCCAGCATAGCTGACTTCACAGTCATTACAGATGCTCCAATATCTAGTCATCGTGGCAAAACCCTTCAGTCTTACTCCTTTAAATTTCATGAACTGTTGATCTTCGATGAAGGTGTTGGTAAACTCTTGTATTATATTATGAATTATTTAAGTACCTTTCAGGTCGGTCGATGGAATATGTTCAGCAAACAAGCCAACAGAACATTTAATCTGATATCAACAAAATTGTTTTTCGAAATATCTCATTGTCAATGTTTCATTTGGTTTCAGATATTTAGGGATACTGCTATAACCCAAGATAACAAAGTAGGATGAGGAGTTTTTTCTTATTGTTCGTTCTCCAGACGTGGAATGTCACAGATGGCAGCGATGCTGCTGCGCAGGGTAAACACGCAACTACGCCATTCCGACATTGAAATTTGAGGGTCTTAATAGGTTAATTTTTTTTAACGCCAATTTACAGTTAACGGTTTATTTCTTTCCGTTGAGATTAAAGGAAAACTTTTACAGCTAGCTTATTTTACGACAAGAGTTCAAATTTGTCGATTTTTACGTCCAGCGGCTCACCCTATTGAGACCCTCAATTTTAAGGATGGTATTTTGTAAAAGGCAAATTATTACAATAACAGTGACAATGACAGAGGAATACAACAGCGCCAGCGAGAATGACAAAATTATATTACTAGCCATAGCAATAAGAATGCTTGCATGACAATAGCTTAAACGTTTCCCAGAAAGTCGCCATTGCAAAACCGAAAGTCGCGTTGCTGCAATTCGTAACCGTCGCTTTACTTTATATAAAGAGGCCTTAATGCGACTGCTATTAAGTTTTGGCGTTTCAGCCTGTTCATAAGACGAAATTATTCATTGTTTGATCAGTGGGCTTTGAATCACAATTATATTTAAATGTTATTTAATAACTGTTTGTTTGTTATTTCGTTTCCAGACTGTGGTTCGGTGGTGAATGACACTTTGAAAAGTCCAAATTATCCTGAAGGCTATCCACACAATATGGATTGTGAATTTATAGTTCCTATTCCGTCCGACTTTAGAATAAAAGTCACATTTGAATACATAAAGTTGCCCAATCTAAAAGATTGGTATGAGTGCATGTAAGTGAAGAATGGCTGTTTCTATTGACTTGCATGACTTGCATGACTTGCATGATGTGAACAACGAGAAACGGTTGAGATGACCTATCAGTTTATTTTGCCTCAGCACTAATCTAGTCAAACTATTTAAAGTAAAAAATTCCTTTCCGGTAATCAAATCTTCTTGCTCCACCGACAATCTCCCCATCCATACTTCCCTGTTGAGTACGTCAGCAACATTGGCTATTAGCCCTACAGGCGCTTATTGTTCTTTTCCGAAATTATCGATCGTGCGTGGACTCTTAAAATAAGCAAGTGAAGCAAGCTATCAAATGTGAACTTTAGAATTATATATATAACAAGTTAACAGGCTTCGAGCCAACAGAGACGCCGCGCCAGAAGGATCCAAAACGATTCGCAGTCCAAACCTCGATAAATGATAAGAGAAGTAGTGCAGCACACGAGGACGGACAACTTCGAGCGAAGAAAGACATATACTCACTAAAAAATCTAAAAAGTTTAATAAAATACTTTTCGGTCCAAGACCTTCATCAGTTGTAATACAATAACTTACAAACTCCTTAAATAGGTTTACAAAGAGAGCGTGATGACACGTATTAACAAAAACGGTAATTACTCCGCGAAAAATTATCACAATCTACGAGAAAAACAAACATAGAAATTAAAAAATTGTCGAATCCACTGAAACTGTTAAGGAACCAGCGTAGAAATAAGGCGTGAATTGTACCAAAATTCCCAATCAAAACTAAGACCGGGGCCTTTGATGCCCGCTCAATTTGGAAAAATTCTCCACATTAATCATAGTTTATTCTTTTTTCGGAGTGAAATTCTTGGCACTCATTCAAGCCGAAAGGTGCCAGAGAGAACAACTGTGCGCTCCAATATGCTTCTTTGGCAATTAAAAGTTTCTCGATGTTACCTGAATTGTTTACGGTCGCCTGCACTTGATCAATGCATTGGAATGAGAGATCGCTTAAATCAAGTGGTGTTTTGTTAAAATGTACCGCTACTTCACAGGTCTTTTTCGTAGTGACCATAGCAGACTTGTGGCTGCGAAATTTAACTCGAAAGTCATTTGTTGTGGAACCATTCGTGCAAGAAATGTCGCCTACAATACATTTGAGAGGGAGAAACTTTTAATTACCAAAGAAGCATACTGGAGCGCACACTTGTTCTCTCTGGCACCTTTCGGCTTGAATAAGTGCCAGGAATTTCAATCCTAAAAAGGAATAAACTATGATTAATGTGGAGAAATTTTCCAAATTGGGCTGGCATCCCCTTGAAGGCTCCGGTCTCCATTTTGATTGGGAATTTTGGTACAATTCTCGCCTTATTTCAACGCTGGTTCCTTAACATTTTTGGTTGATTCGACAATTTTTTAATTTCTATGTTTGTTTTTCTCGTAGATTGTGATAATTTTGTACACTGTGATACTTTTTCGCGCAGTAATTACTGTTTTTGTTAATACGTGTCATCACGTCCTCTTAGTAAACCTATTTAAGGAGTTTGTAAGTTATTGTATTACAACTGATGAAGGTCTTGGACCGAAACGTTATTTATTAAACCTTTTTAGATTTTTTATTGAGTATATGTCTTCCTTCGCTCGAAGTTTTCCATCTTCGTGTGCCACACTACTTCGATATGTATCTATACATATATATATTTGTGGTCTCGAACTATTACTTTTAGTGCTTTAGTACACGTAAGTTTAGATTAATTTTTTACTTCATTTCCAAAGGTGTGATTATTTGACGGTCCGCGCTGACAACAGAAGCTATGGAAAATACTGCGGTGCAATGACAGGCGAGACCATTTTGGTAACTGGAAACTACATTGTGATAAATTTTCACGCTGGGAGTGGTTTTTCCAATAAAGAGAGAGGATTTGTGTTACAATTCGAGGTTGTTGATCCACCAGGTAACGTATCAAATTTTTCAGTTTTCCAGAATGTATTACAGTTAAAAAAGAGAGCAAAGGATTATCTTTAAATATCGCGCTCAGTAGAAACGACAACTCGCGTAAAGCTTAGAAATAGATTGTAGCTGTGAGAACGATAGCCTTGCGATATGTCGCCGTTATGTCCCACTGAAATATCGTCAATAAATCGCGATAATCCGCGATTATGGCTTGCATTACGTTTGCAGAGTATCTTAAGTTACTTTTGTTTTGACCGATAATATCTGACGATCCCGCCAAGGACTAAACAATGGCTAACGTGACCTGTTTTGCTTTAGTTCAACCAAGTATCTGTCCAACCGGTTGGTATTATCAATATGGATCATCTTGTTACAAATTCAGCTCTGAGTCTCTCACTTGGAACGAAGCTGTGACACACTGTCAAAGTCTTGGAGGCTACTTAGTGAAGATCGATGATGCCAACGAGCAGTCTTTTATCACGGAGAAAATCAAAGAAATGCGACATGTACAGGTTCGTGACGAAGAGAGGAATGACAACTCGGTAAATTCCTTTCAAACCACTCCCTAGACACTTAAAATCTTTACAATTATTCCAAGCAACGTATGGCAGTCTACGATCTCCCCCTACGGCTAGTCAGTTCTGAAAGCTGCAAATCTCTAAAATAATAATTTATCTTTTAATGAAATCGGTACTAACGAACGCCTTTCATTTTACGGATTTAGTCATGTGTTTTTCACGTTAATTCTTACTGTGAACCACAAATTGGGACAACAACAACAACAACAACAACAACAACAAATCTTTTCACCCTTATTCTTGAGAAGATTAAATTAACATCAAATAAAAAAAAATTGAAACTAAGAGGGTGTTGGCTTCCTAATATAACTAGATGGTTAACAAGGCTGGGAAGCCAAATCATATTCTTGACTTTCACCCACGTGACACCACACTTGACAACGGTTGCTATCCGCCATTAGTGTGCCCCTCAAGCGTAAACAAACAAAGAGATGCATAGTACTTTTACTAAATATGGTTCATTGTATAGTGGTTGTATGTACTTCTGAAAGCGGAAAATTCGTCGTGGCTGTCATAAAATACCCAAGATTGTATTGAATCAAGGAGAAGAGCACGAAAAGCTCACGAGAGAGAGAAGAAGGCGCTAGATTTAAGCGATCAGTCGAGGCGATAACAGAGACGAAGAGAATCCTCGACAGTCAAGGAGTATGTGCGTTACATTTTGTTACTGGAAGAGCTGCAGCCTCCTGGGATAGATATCACATCGACTGGGTTCCACATCTAAACCTCGGAAAAGAACAAGCGAAGCAACCTACAGTCAAAGAAGAAGTGAGTTTGAGGGCCGAAAGGGCCAAAGAGCGCAGGAAGAGAAACATCGAGCGTCAACAAATCGAAGCAGCTAAGAAGAAAAAAGAGCTGGAACAAAGTGGTCTGGCTGTACAAAACATAGATTTTACCACTGCCAGCGCATCTACGACGATGTTTCAAGCTTAGACCCTGATGAGGCTTGTGGCAGTACAAACTATGGATATTTTGACGGAAACGAGACAGAGAAAGGAAATCGAACGGTCGTCCACATAATGGTTGATCGTTCTAGTTCAACTGAGGACTTTGAAATAGTTTCTGAAGGCAGGAGAAATAGGGGAATTCAGGCACTAGAATTCAAATGTTTGTTTAAGAACTCTGTGTATCATGCTCCAGACGAGGACCTCTTCCATTCATATAAAGTTCGCCTTTACACCGGATTGTCTCCATTTGAAGTACTTAATGGTAGTATTCGAACATGTACGTCACCGTACGTATCAAGACGATCTAATTTAACCAATTTGAACAGCGTTCAAGAATTTATCATAACTTTGATGAAGCTACGGTTAAATGTACTATTTCAAGATTTAGCATACCATTTTGAGGTGTCCTTAACAAGTGTGTCAAGGATGTTCACCTCATGGATACAAGCAATGGATTCGAGGTGGTCAGACTTCATTTAATGGCCAGAAAAGGAGCAGCTATGGAAGACTATGCCAATGTGTTTTCAATATACCTTTGGTCGTAAGGTAACTGTAATAATTGATTGTTTTGAGGTTTTCATTGAGAAACCAACAAATCTTATAGCCAGAGCTCAGACCTTTTCTTTATACAAGAATCATAACACTGTTAAGATTCTGATTGGAATAACACCCCAAGGAACTGTCTCTTTTGTTTCTGAAGCTTGGGTAGGAAAAACTTCGGATAAATTCTTAAACGAGAACTCTGGAATCCTAGGAAAACTGATACCAGGAGATACTAATGGCAGATAGAGGATTCACAATTTCTGATAGTGTTGGGTTAAAGCAAGAGAGCTAGTGATTCCTGCATTCACCAAAGGAAAAGCTCAACTAGACCCAGTAGATGTAGAGCGTTCAAGAGGCATATCCAATGTTGGGATCCTTGTGGAGCGAGTTATAGGTTTACCACAAAGGAAATACACTCTTAGAAAGAACACTCCCCACTAAATTCTTGAGTTGTGACCTAAATGGTCCCACAGAGAACCAGGTACCCATAATAGATCATATTCTAAGAGTTTGTTCAGCCCTTGTAAATTTTTGCCCACCAATAGCACCATTTGACTAGCTAGTTTTTAAATCAGTTTTTATTGTTTTCTAAAATAATACCCTGGTGGAAATCTTTCCCATAATCCGACAGGGTATTGGAACCTTGATTATCCTATCAAGATCCTGTGGGATCCTAAGACTCTTATAAATAGGGATCCTAATCCTGGACAGAATCCTGTTTGGGATCCTGGTAGAATCCTACAGGGTCCTGGAAAATATTTTCACAAGGGTAGTGTAAGAACTTTGTAATATATTAGTGACCAACCACCTCTAATGACCTACGCTTTGGGCAGATACCTAAATACAATTTTGTACAGCTTGATCACTTTCAACATATGCATTGCCACTATGGTAACTAATTATTTGGTATCTATTAGTGGAATGGTTTTCATTAATTCATTAAATACACTTTGGGGTAATACACCATAGTTCCATTTCCGTTTTTTTTTTTTATCTTTACACTCTACTCATCATACTTTGTTTCACAGGTTAATGAAAACCATTCTAACTAATGGACAAAATTATTTAGCTGCTGATTAACTGAACTAAAAGAGCAAAGAGAAATGTCTTGTTAACAAATAGATTAACACTTAAATTGAGAACATTAGTGATGTAAATGCATGTCAAGGATGGCAAATATCAAGCTCATAGTGATTGTGGCTTTAACCAAAAAGCAACAACAACAAAAATTATTAAATTTTTGAATCAAATATGTTTTAAATAGTAAAAGTCATCTTGCATGTTGTCAAAATAATACGAAAAACAAGAACAAAATATTATCAATATTTTGCAAAATTATTTCAAAAATGGCAGTATTTTCCTCTAAAAATGAAGTGCAGTATTTGTGCTTAGATTCATATTTCTGGTAAATTCTATGACAAAGTTGTACAATTCTATGTATCAATGTGAATGATTTCACATTATTTTACACCAATAGATATGTTATGCTATTTATAAAATTCAGAAATGGCCAATATATTCTTATGAAAATAAATTGCAGTAATGGTCTTTAAATTCTTACCTCTGGCTAATTCTATGACAAAAATATACAATTCTAAGTATCAATGTAAGTGATTTCACATTATTTTACACCAACAAAAATGTTTTGGTACACAAAATTCAGTGATTTCTCCTGCATTTAGATTGCAAACAATTTAACTGCAAAATAAAAATTAATAAATAGCACAAAATAGTGTTAATTAAGGATAGTAAACAACAGATTGCACTATTTAGTAATACTAGTGTTTTGTGGGTAACTAAATGGCTGCATTGTTTGCACTCTAGTATATGTAGTTCGAGTTTGATTGGAGTATCCATCGAAAGATTCAGTGTGATTGTCAAGTTTTTCTTTTAACTTTTTAGCAGAAGAGAAATCAATTTCTTTTGCCCTTGCACAGGTAACATTACTTACATAAGTTGGAATAAGCCATGAACATTTTACTTGCGTATGGGCCAACTTTTTGTTGATTCGAGTCCAACTTTCGATATAAAATAAATCACTGGCAACGTGTGAGCACGAATCAGCTAGACCTGCTTTACAGCCTAAGCAATGAGCGGAGAAAATTCTTCTATCTTTTCCTGTAATAAGCCAGATATCGACGAGAGGACCATTCATACGCTGTTAATGTCGTACTTAACTAGAAACAATTCTTCCCTTCACGGACGCCACAGACCCAGAAGCCACTTGGATGTATGCTTCGAGACTTCTGTAGTTCTTGAACTGGTCGTCAGTATAATGACTTGTTTCCAAAACCAAGAAACTGAACAAGCCCGACTGCTCTACTGGCGGTAAATACGATTAGTCTTCATTTGGAATAGTAGCTGGATCGATGCCGATTTTTTCAATTTTCTGGATGTAACGATTCTTTATATTACCCTCCAGTGATGTAGCATATTTCGAAAATACTGGTATTGACATTTACAGGTCTATAAAAGCGCTTTTCAACGAGAAAATTAACAAACACTACAGAAATGGCATTACTTTACATACATTTCCTTGCTGCTGAGGGGCACAGTAATGGCGGACACTGTAATTGGATATGCCTGTGACGTCAAGTGAAAGTCACGAATAGAATGAATTACAATATATTAGGGCCGGAAATTACAATATTAGGGTCGGGAGCTCCATCTTTCCATACAATTACAAACCACACACAACCCACAATTCCTCAATTCGCTACGACAAAAGGCTAACGCTCGAAATGTCAGATTCACTCAATCAACTTAGTTGATAAAACCAAATGATCTTTTACACAGGTTCGTACAAAACGAGACGATAGTAACATGGTACTCGATGATGATAGGTTGTGTACCGTCACATAACACTGGGAAAATGATAAGTAACAAAGTCAGCTTTTGCGAATACAATACCGAAAAAAGGGCTCTGAAGGTCATTTTTTGTCGTTGTCATCCAAAGGAGATTATAAACATAACTCCTAGATCGAAAGAGGTAAAAATTCCATAAGTCTAAAACGTGAGCATCATTGCTACGATTTTTCATTAACAATCTCTTACTTTTAGGCAACTTGGATTGGGCTACACGATCCTGATAACAGTAACAATTTCAAATGGATTTATGATGATACTCTTGCCAATTTCAGCAACTGGAATACAAACGAACCTAATAATCCAGCGGTATGATACAATTATTATACCATTCTTATCATATAACTGTTTAGTTTAACACAAAACTTGCAGTCATAACATTAAACCTTCCTAAAGAATCACGCCCCCCTCAAAAAGGGGCAATTAAAATTGATTTTCCAATTCTGACTACACTCATAAGAGTCATTTCATGTGGAAAGTTTATTTAGGGTGCGTCAGTTAGTCCTGAAGTATAGGCATCCTGATACTGCACAATCTTGACATACTGAGATACAATAAAACTAAGGGTTCTACGAAAAGAAACTTTCCACACCAAATACGAAAAACCCCGTTGATAAACCACTCTTGAGATGTGGCCAAAAAATACAAGGAAATGTATTCCTCATCTAAGACAGGAGCACAACACCCCGAGGGAAGGGTAGATTAACCTGGTTACACTAGTAATCGCAAAGAAAAATTCACTATTATAATGATATTTTACAGGGAGTCGGAAAACGAAAATTACAAAAAATGCAAAGAAAGAAAGTGGTCAAGAATAAGACTGACCGATCGACCTCGAATTGCTCAATTTCCTCGGGAGAAACCTCTTCAATGTGCCATCAGAATATCAATTTCTGGCTTATTCGTTCCCATGCCACTCAACACTCAGAAATTACATACTTTGATCTGCATGCTGTACTGGGCCTTTTTTTAAACTCAATCGCGTCTTTTTAAATTTAAGAATCATATCTAAACTTCAAACCCTTTGGTTCAATTGCAAGCTTAAACTTGAAAGATTGCCTTATATCTTTGACTCATCGTATGTTAAAATCACAATTGTAGGCATAACGTTAATACTCGATTCACAAACAGATCAACCTACCATCCTCCTAAAATTTGAAAACTATGAAAAGTTCAATATCTGATGTAATGGACCTAATTTGTAGAATGAAGTCAGGGATAAAAAAAATTATAATTTCATCCTCGTTTAAAAAGAATGAACTTCACTAAACATCTAGGGTACAGGACGAGTTAAGGTGGCTGAACACAGTTTTCGCGCGCGCTTTTGCTGATGCAATTCAGCGCGCGCACAAGGATTGCAAAAAACAAACATGCCGTCAACAGAGCGGTCATTTTATTTACTCTGCACGTATCCGCACTATCTGTTCTATTTAACAAATGGTAAACACCACAGCGTACACTATTGAGTTATGGATGCACGCGGGAGGTTGCTAAGCACGAAAGAAGCGTAAGAGTCGCTCGAGGCGATAGCCGAGAGCGACTCTAGCTTCTTGAGTGCTTAGCAAACCTCCCAAGTGCATCCATAACTCAATAGTGTACGCTGTGGTGTTTACCATTTGTTTTATAACATAACATTGATACATTGTAGCTAAAGAGTTCCCTTTTATTTAACAAATCTTACGTGACCAGAAAAAACAAGCGCGCGCGGAAAAATAGTCTTTGCATTTGCTCACGTCAGCAGCGTACACCCATGGGCAAATGGGGGACGCTAAATTGACCAATCAGAGCGCGCGCTTTACTTTGGTTATGTTATAACAACTTATGGGGACAACCAGGAACTGCAAGCTAACAGAATCGATGCAAAGATAGTGAACCATAAAAGTAAGGAAGTAGTAGTCTTGGAGATG